AAAGAAAGAAAGAAGCAAGGTCCAAGGTTGGAAGGCATATGCCCTTTTCTGCTGGCTAAGCCTTGGAGGACCCTGGCTCCCCACTTCCACCCGTGTTTCCTGGTTTTTTTTTTCCCCTTTGCATGCTTAGGAAGAGTGGGTTAGAGATTGGAGACGCAGCCTGGCTTGGGATTCAGAGGAAGAGACCCAGAAGCAAGCTCCAGCTCTTCCCAGAATTCCATAGCCTGGAGCCAGGTGGCGTGAAAGCGGTGCCAAACTGGGTTATTCCTCCGGTGTGGACGCAGCGGAGCATTGGCCAGGTTGCCCTTTGGCCTGGGATGCCCTTGGCCTTGGGCCTTTCTGGGTCCCAAGAGGGATCCCAGGGGATCTGGCGATGGAGAAGGGATCCCTCAAGCCACCCAAGGGTTAAGCGGTCCACGCTCAATAGGGCTTTCTTTGCCAAAAAAGAGAGGAGGAGGAGGAGGAGAATGTCTCAGGTTTTTAGGGGGGGACCCCCCCCCCCGTTTTCCACAAGGCTCCATCCAAGGCTAAAAATACAAAAAAAGAATTTTTGTATAAATTGGACTGGGCTGGAAAAGAGAGCGGGAAAAAAAGCCCTCCCCGCCACATAAAGGTGGCCTTTGTGCAGCCCTGGAAATGTTGTACAAATAAGCCTTTTATTAATGAAGGCCACAAAAAGTGCTTTAATTATATTTACGCAGAGCAAGAAGACACAGGGCTCACCTGAACATCGCCCCAACTTCTTCACAACCGGGCTTTTGTGGGGAGCCTGGGAGAAGAAGAAGACCCACAAGGAGAAGGAGAAACACACCAAAGAATAAGAATAATAAGAATAATAAGAATAATAATAAGAAGAATACACCCTCTTTCCTCTGCTTCCTTTCCCCCTTTTTTTTTTGGGGGGGATTGTACCTTAGCCCCTTTGCAAGAGAGGAATGGGATTTCTAGAGAGCCTTCCCTTGCAAAGGCACCCCGAAAAGTGTGCCTGGATCCCTTTGGGAAGGGGCTGGGATGGGAAAGGGAGGGCTCCGGCCCCCCACGCTTTCCCAATTTTGGGAGAAAAGCAGGATACAAATGTATAGGGAGCCAACCTGCGTGTCGGAAAGGGGTTTTAACCAAGGTTGGGATGTCCCAACTACATTGCGAACGTGCGCGTCTTGTGCGCCTCTGCACGTCCTTTCTGGCTTGTGGCAACTCCGTGGCAAACCTTTCCAGGGCTTTTCTTGGCAAGGTTGGTCCAGAAGGGGTTTGCCATGAAGCTGAGAGAGTGTGACCTGCCCAAGGTTTCCCTGGCCAAGCTGGGATTCGAACCCTGGTTTCTGGAGTCGACATCTGACATTCAGACCACTGCGCCACTCTGGCTCCAGTAAACCGTAGACTCCATTGTTGATGGTGAGTCTCCGCGGAGGGAAATTTGGGGGATCCAGTGGCTCTCCTCGAATCAGGGCTAAGACTAGGGACCCAGCATCGGTGAGAGCGAGAGTAACCTTATGCTTGTGGAGTTATGCGGCAGTTGTGCAACACCGTTTCCTGGGTGAATTGCGACATTGCGCCGTGGAATGTGCGTTATGCATCAGCAGGCGATGCGAGATGTGCACTCATGTGCCATGCTGAAGGTGCACCAATACTTAATACTACATGTGCATTAGTGTGTAATGCTAAAAGGTGCACCAATACTTGTGTGTGTATTAGTGTCCAATGCTGAGAGTGTACCAATAACTCAATGCTGCATGTGCATTAGTAGTGTGCAGTGGTGAGGGTGCAGAGTGCTAAATGTGCATCAGTGTGGCGCGCTAAACCTGCATCATTGCAGAAGGTAAAGTGTGAATCAGTGCACTCTGCAAAGTGTGCGTGAGGCACAGGGTGTGTATCAACATGCGAGTGTACGCGGTGGTGTTGCACGCGCAACTTTTGTTCCACAGCATCTGCATGCAGATGTTCAGCATCAGAGAAAAGCGCCCAACCCATTCCACAGGGAAACTTGCCTTTGTGTAACTCACCCAAAGGACGGCAGTCAATATTTAGCCCCCCAAATGAACCGGAATGCCACCCTTAGAGCGGCAATGTTTGTGCAGGAACCCTCCCATGGAGATCTTTTGGAGTGTGTGAAAACGGCCAGCTAGTCTTGTGGATCACTTTTGGGATCTGCCCCCTCCCCGCCCTTGACCAATGCTTTGGAAGTTAACATTTCCCCCCAAATGTGGATGGAGACTCCCTTGCTTTCCCCATTGGCGTGATTTCCCTTGCCCCTTCTTCAGTTTAGGGAAATCTCTAGCCAGAAAGATCCGGGGAGAGATCCAATATTGGGGAGAGAGATCCAACTAGAAGGGCTTTAGTGCTGCTACAGAGATCACCGCATCTCAGCCATCGAAGAAGTGTATGTTGTGGTGCAAGAACTGATAAAGAACACCACACCATTTGGGTGCTTTGCTAATCCGGCCTCAGATATCTTTCCTGCCTTTTTGGCCAAGGAAAATCCCAAGGGTCAACCCCAAACGCCAGTAGGGCAGACCGACCCCCGTTCTTCTTCAGGCACCCCTAAAGAGGGGCAGGCATCCTCTAGGCAAAATCCTCCCCAAAAAGGGGAACCCAGTCCACTCCATCAGAGTTACCTCTGTCTAGGAAGGTCTCCCTGGTTTTATTGGGAGAGCATTTTCAGGTAGATTTCGGGAACCCTCGCCCTGCATGAATCCCCGTTCTAGTGGCATGAAGTGCCCGGGTTCCTTACGCCCGGGTTCTGGGCAGGCAACCAAGATGCTAAATGTTCTGGAACCCAAGCCTTATCAGGATGGATCTTTAGCTTGGGGACAAGAAGACGGAGAAGGGGACGCGATAGAGGGATGTTTAAATGTCTGGAAGGATGTGTTTTCTATTCCTCTTGTTCTTGATGTGTGCTTGCAAGTTCTTTCCGAATTATGGCAACCCTCGGGTGGGGTTTTCTTGGCACGTTTCTTCAGATGCCGTCCTCTGAAGCTGAGAGTGTGTGACTTGCCCAAGGTCGCCCAGACCCCCACATTGAAGGTGGATGGACTCCCTGAGTCTGCAAGTGTGAGGTGCCCAGGGTCACCCAGTGGGTTTTTATATCGCTGAGCCAGGATTTGAACTCTGGTCTCCAGAGCCAATGCTCAGACCACTAGACCGCGCTGCTGCCTCTCTTTTCTGTTGCTCTAAAGATGGCAAGAGTGAGATCTCTTTCCTTGCACTCTGAATCGACTGGTTTTGTTCCTCCTGCAAGAAAAGGGATTTAATTATTAACTGATGCCAAGATTAATTTAAGGCAGCCTGCTTTCTGAAGGAGAGATCTCCAAGAGCCAAGGCATCAATAGATTGAGTCCATCCACCTTAAATGAACTGGTTTAGGCAAGTCACACACTCTCAGCCTCAGGGAAAGGCAATGGCCAACCTCCCCTGGACCAATTTTGCCAAGAAACCCCCCAATGATAGGGTCACCTTTAGGGTTGCCATAAGTCAGAAAGGACTTGAAGGCACTGCCTTCCACTTTGCCAAACTTGATCTTCATTCCTAGCAGGTTGCACCATCTCCCCCAAATATTAGGAAGAACTTTTTAAATGTAAGAGCCATTTGATGGTGGAACGGATCACCTCTGAGGATGATGGGCTCTCCATCTTTGGAGGTCTTTGAGCAGAGGTTGGATGGGTTGGATCTTTCAGGAGTGCTGGAATTGTGGATTCCTGCATGGCAGAAGGGAGTTGGACTACATGACCTTTGGGATGCCCTCCAACTCTATGATTCCCTGACTTTATTCCCCTACAGCCAGAAATATTTGGGGAAATGATCCCAGTTCCTCTCTATCTACTAAGGCTTTTGAGCTGGGGGGGCCTGAAGGATGCCTTGGGCCACCACATACGGGGTTTATTTGGGCCCTGGATTACCTTTCTCCCACTTAGTGGAGTGCAGGGGTTGAGAGTCTGTGACCCCCAAATATTCTGGATTTGTATCCCAAAGGAATGGGCAGCTATAAAGATATGTGTGTGTACTTTCAAGTCACAAGTCATGAGTTTCACAGGGCTTTCTTAGGCAAGGAATCCTCAGAGGTGGTTTTGCCAGTCCAGGGTGACCAGATGTCCTCCTTTTCCAGGACACGTCCTACATTCAAACCATCTGTCCACGCGGAATTTCAAAATGTCCTCCATTTTGAGCATGACTATGAAGCACGCATTTACATTTATATGAGTGTTTTTAGTTTTTATTGGGTCATGTCCTCCATTTTTCTCGAACGTCCTACACTTTACAGTGTCTTGTCCTCCTTGGCAGTATGAGGACATCTGGTCACCCTGGACCAATTCCTTCCTCCGAAAGGGAGCCTAGAGGTACATGAATGCCCTCTGGTGCCATGCCTGATTATTTATCATGCTCTTGGGGTTTTCACTTGGCTCCATTGCTTAGGTTTGTGAGATGTGGGATACGAAGGTCTGGTGTGCATCTGAGCATGTATAGAGTTCTGTCGCTACCAATGAGGAACCACAGCTTTTTACGGTGGGGAAATCTTCAGGATCATTCAGATTTATGTAAAGACGATTGTGCGCTAGTGAAATGCAACACTGAATGTGCAAACGAATGTGAAACACGGTAACATTTCAGATTGTGGTTGCGCATTGGAACGACTGCACCTAGTTATTGCCACACATTACGCAGTATTGCTATTCTGCATGGCGGTTGCACAATATAGACACAGTCTATTGCAATGACTGCGTCTGGTTATTGCCACGCATTGCGCAGTATTGCTATTCTGCATGGTGGTTGTGCAGTGCAGGTGCATTGCATTGCGATGGCTACACCTAGTTATTGCCACGCATTGTACAGTGCTGCTATTCCACATGGCAGTTGCACAGTGCAGGTGCATGTATTGCAATGGCTGCAACTAGTTATTGCTGCGCATTGCGCAGTGTTGCTGCTCTTCATGGCAGTTGTGCAGTGCAAGTGTAATGTATTGCAACAACTGCACCTAGTTATTGCTACACATTGCGCAGTGTCGCTATTCTGCATGGCAGTTGCACAGTGTATTGCAATGGCTGCAACTAGTTATTGCTGCGCATTGCACAGTGTTGCTGCTCTTCATGGCAGTTGTGCAGTGCAAGTGTAATGTATTGCAACAACTGCACCTAGTTATTGCTGCACATTGCGCAGTGTCGCTATTCTGCATGGCAGTTGCGCAGTGCAGGTGCAGTGCATCCTCATGCGGGAATAGTTACACCACAACTGGGGTTATGTTGCATTTCATGGCCGAAAAATCACAACTGCGCAGAGAAGGGCGCTTACGTGTGCACAAATCACCGACCGGATGTGGGTCTGTGTGTGTGGAGTGATTGTGGGTTGGGGTGTCGCAACCTTTCAGTCGATTTATCCGGGTCGGGATTTCATCCATTGCATCTTCCTTCCCCTCTGCAGGGCTCCTTTTTCCAGTCCTCCCGGAGGGAGAAATACGGGAACGTCTTCAAGACCCACCTGCTGGGTCGGCCCCTGATTCGAGTGACGGGGGCCGAGAACGTGCGCACCATCCTGATGGGCGAGCACAGCCTGGTCAGCACCGAGTGGCCCCGCAGCACCCGCATGCTCCTGGGACCCAATTCCGTGGCCAACTCCATCGGCGACATCCACCGGCACAAGAGGAAGGTAAGGAAGGGCGTGCGTGTGCGTGTGCGCATGTGCGTGTGCGCATGTGAACTGTCAGGGGAAGTGGGGTGCAAAGAGTGGGACCTCTTCTTCTCCCTATGGGGAGCATCCAAAGTGCGGGCAACATTCTTTCACTATCTGCTTTGCAAACAAGAACAATTCCAATGTGTAAAAGTTGACTTTTGGGCACTATAACTCCCAGAATCCACACACACATATATATAGAGCCAGCATGGCCTCTTTCCCAAGAATTCCCCAACTTGGGAGCAGTGACTCTTGCAGACCAGGAATCCCGCAACCATCCTAAGCTTCTGTCTTAGAATTGTTGTGTGACCTTGGGTGAGTCACACTTTCTCAGCTTCGGAGGAAGGCAAACCCCTCCGGACAAATCTGGCCAACAAAACCTCATGATAGGTTTGCACTGTTGTTCTTGTTGTTGTGTGCCTTCAAGTCATTTCAGACTTATGCATTCTTTTAAATATGTTAGATACTTTTTACCTTTCTAACTATATTTTATTATTTTATATGCAATCTATTTTAATATTGTAATAATTTAATTCTGTTTTAATCGAACGCTTTTCTGCATTTTTAATTGTACTGTGTTAATCTTCTAAGCCGCTTTGAGCCCTAGTTTTGGGAATGTGCGGGATAATAATAATAATAATAATAATGATGATGATGACAACCGTAGCATGGGGTTTTCTTGGCAAGTTTCTTCGGAGGGGGAT